TTACCAGAATTCCTTTAGTATTTACCATAATTACTATAATCCTACAGAAATTTTGCTAAATCCTAAAGGAATTCTGGTAAATCCTAAAGGAATTATCTGATTCGTCCATATTCAACCAGAAATTTTTTTCAGTGCAGAGAAAACCTAGAGACCAATGTTTAACCAGTGTTTGGTCAATGCACTGCGCTACTAGGGTTTATTTTCTAAATTTTATCCGTGAAAGAGCTGCTTTGTGCAAAGCCGTTCCATTTGTTTTCTAAATATTCTCGCTATTGTTAAGAAAGTAGGACAGATTTTATTATATTTTCTTATTCACAAAAGGGAGCCGCCTTATACAAGCCATTTTAATATATGCAGAGGAAGTCTCGTATTATGCGAATAGGCGTCTAACACTAGATGGCGGAGTTTCTGCGAAATTAATAGGCATTATCTGTTGGTTCCACCGTGAATTTATTGCCCTTGGAGCGAAGACTGTTTAGTGGAAAATTGCTTGTTAAATCGTGTAATCGTTGCAAAAGAAGATTTGCGATTGAATTTCGACGTTGATAACCTACTATCTCATATTAGAATTCTATCTCGTAACAGAGAACTTTCTTCTACGCGTAGCCTTAATGAATTCCAATTGTCGGGATTGCAATTTGTGAGAGTTAACGTTTAGGCTTCCTTTGGCCAAATTTCAAATCGCTCTCGCAAGGACGATTTTGCGTGGTGCACCACCTTGCCTTGCGCATATTCGCGCCCGGGCGAAACTCGTTTGCAACGTTTGTTAAATCCAATCAGTTATCTCGGCGCCAAGTGCGCGCGCGCGCGTATGTGTGCCATGTACATACGTGTGTGTTGTGCATCACGAGCCGCGTCGTCGCTGTCGACGACGACGACGACGACGACGGCAGAGCGTCGCGATGCGCCGTCGGGCTTGTTTTCGCGTTCCACGCGAAATCGCGGGGAAGGCAACGGCGGCCACCGACGAGGTACGAAACGAAATATTGGATTAGGTAGATAAAGGTGGCACGAACCACAATAAGTCCCATGTGCGCACGCGATGTGAGGCGCGGGGCGGGAGAGCCGAAATGCGATACACTGGGCGAGATAAGGCTGAAATTGCGTTACGGCCGGACCCGCGAGCCGATGCGTTTTATCGTCTTCTGACAAGTGGCGTTGCACTCGGAATTTGTCACCTTCCCGCGTATGAAAGCGATGATTGATTAGATAGCTTGTTAGGGAACTAGCTAGGCGGCACGTGTTCGTGACCGTGTCTCGTTCAAGTCAAGATAAATAAGATTCGATAGAGATCTATAATCCCCACCGGCTATAATAACAGCAGCCGCTGTGCCATCACGTTTCGCTGAATCGTCTCGTTCCTCCTACATTCCGCGCGATATTGTAGAAATGCAGAATAAATCGACAATTGTGTCAGTTTTCTAAATTCGTAGTCGCGTGCACTTTTACAC